GGCCCGATCAGATTAGTTGGAGATCCCCTCTTGTCTAATCTGACAAGGAACATGTACCACAATAAGTCAGCCGAAGAAAACTAACTGCAGCACTGGAGATTTCGAGGGGTGCAGACGGTCGCCGAGCCAGACGCGGGCCAGTATGTGAGAACATGCAGTAAGACCAGTCAAGATCCCCTTGAAAGGAATGTCCTTACTAGCCGTGTGTCCCTCCAAATTCAGCACAGCAAAGAGATGCATTGACGGCAATAGATTTGGGTCCTAAAGGTCCTGTCCCATTGGGCCTGGTCCCACTGAGTCCCGAAGGGTCCCAAGTAGGTCGTGGACCAGGACCAATGAGATAGGTGTACCAAGTCAGTCCCAAACTGCCTCTACTGTACTGAAAAGGAAAAGATAACTTTCAGCAAGAACTTACCCCTACAGCCGTTCAGAAGTGAAAAGACAATGCACCGTAAAAGACATGTTATTGAGAACAAGATACATCATCCATCCATCCATCAGGTGAGAAAGCAATCCACATGCTCACACACACAACCAAGACCGCAGAGAAGAGGAAGAGAGCCCAACACACCCCAACCGGCCATGAAGCACCAATCAACCTCCCACGGGCATAACCAGTTCGCACGGCACTTACCTGTGAGGCCCGGCCTCCAAAGATGGATAACGACTCACCCCCTTTCTCTAGGTCCTCCTGACCCCTAGCTACCACTACACGAAGTGTCCTAGCATGACTAAGAGGGCCTCCCTACACCCCTGTTACAACGCCGGATCCTCCGTCGATGTCTGAAGACCAAAGTAGCAACTTGCAGCTCTTTGATGCAGATATGGCAGCCTCCGATCAAGTCTCCCTCTTGAGGGGAAGCCCAAAAGTCAGTCAATGTCTTCTTGAAGTGCAGATTCCAGGTGCGAGTACCTCTCACTCTCTACTCCCTCTTGCTTACTCCAATCAGCCTCCTTTGTGTCTCGCCACCCCATCCAATCACACAAGCAACCTGGTCAGGTCTGATGTCAACCCTACATGACCTAACCAGGTGGGGGCAGTATCCACATACCTCACTGCCCCTCTTAACCCTAACTTCCAACCCTAATCTGAGATCAGGTTAGCCCCAACCTAATTCGGAATTAGGTTTAGGGTGACCTCTCGCCAGCAAGTAAGTCCGCTCCGATACCAATTGTTACGATCCTGGTCATTCCCAAAGTGCAAATTCACAATGAAAGACAATGCCACCCAATTGTGAAAGAAATGAAAGCACTTGCAAAGAGATAGAGAMCAAAGAAGAGAGAAAGAAGAAGAAGAAGAAGAAGAAGAAGAAGAAGAAGAAGAAGAAGAAGATGTACACCAGCAAGACCAATGACAAATCCCCCTTCTCTCTCCACCTTCCTCCTCCTCCTTCACTATGCCAATCTTATTCTTCTTTCCAATAATAATAATAATAACAACGAGTGGATGAACTAGAATCAATATCCGAAGTTCCCTCTTACTGCTGACATCACAATAGGTCCACCATAGCTATGGCTTCCCCCCTTCTTCCACCTCTCACATGCCTAGGCTATGGCGGACTACTGAGGGCTCTGCCCTCCTGTGCAAAGGACAACGCAAAGCAGCTATGTCGCTGCACTCCTGTCCAAAGGACAACCCAAAGCAGCTATGCCGCTGCTGACTAAGCCGCCATGCCTGACTCTGCCTCGAGCTTCCTTGGTGCGGCACTACCCCAACTAGGGCCTTCCAGATGCAGTGCCCAACAAGGTGATGAAGATGGTGTCCACCATAGCCAGGTAGGCACCTTGCCACTCTCCTCCTTCCCCCCCTTCTTCCTCCTCCTCAGGCTGGGCTGCTCGCCATAGCCAGGCTGAGCGCCCAGCTGCTCGTCACCTCCAGGCAGCGCTGCCCAAGTCCAGCACTTGGCTCCAGCAGCATGTCGCCAATCCTTGCATACCGCAAATGAGGAGGAGCTGCTTGCTCCTCCGGAAGATATAGCGGCCTACTGGCCTCTTGGGCGGTGACTTCCGAGGCCAAGTGGCCTCCCAGCAACCGGTACCTCCTCTCTTTCGGAGGGAAACATCATTGCAGGCTCTGCTATCG